TTTAATAATCACATACGTGTGCGCACACACACGCACACATACACACACACACACACACACATATATATATATATATATGTGTGTGTGTGTGTGTGAAAATGGAGTATCCCATGAACTTTTCGAGTACTGGATAGCAAAACTTGACACGTTATTTTGTTGAGTCGAGCATACTCGAGTCACATGTTGACCAAACATTGACTTGGTCGATCTCAAATAGCTTGCAAGTTGTCTTGTCTTATTTACACCACTAATCAACTGAAGACACGAGAATAATGGAATAACAACTAGAAAAACAAATACTAATTATATCGATATTTATTATAGATTTATGATGTGAAATGATATGAAATTAAAGTCATCGACGCAACTATTATTTATTTAGAAAAGTATACCATTTAATCAGTTTTACAGTACGCAAACTATCTTTAAAAATTACAAAAAATAAGATGTCATTTTCTAGGTTTATAATTGAAAAGTCATTTTCTCTTGCCTTATTTGACTTCTAACTTCAGTTATAGTTACGAACTTTGAGTCGAGATCTCTTTGACCTCTAAAGATAATGATTGAACGTCCGACTTTTAAGTTGATTAATATCTCTGTTTTATTATAAACAAATTATCGTGTCTACTTAAAACAGATAAAAAAAAAAATAAACAATTGTTTATCTCTCTGGTAAATAGCATATTTTTTGCTATATGTTTATTTAGGGTTTGGTTCACGTGAGACCAATGGTTTTTCGTGAAATCCGTAAGACCAATTTATGTTCATCGATCAACTTTATAAGCTAATAATCTAATGGTCTAAAGTTGCACGGTGACAATTTTGTGATTATTGAGAAGTCTCGTGTCAATTTTATGATTATTATTATTATTCAGATTGTAGATTTAATCCAAGGGTTGAAAATTGGTCTTACGGGTCTCACGAAAAACCCATGTTCTCACATGATCTCAAGTCTGTTTATTTATACAACAAATCTAAAGTATATATTTATTTGATAATATATTATGGGAAATAACACGTTGATTTATTTATTTTAGAGTGGATTATAACTGATAGATAGAATTTCAAACTTTCTTTAATGCTTTATTCATTTCGGAACAGTTTTGGAAAATCTGTTGGAGAAAAAATTTACCTAAAATTTCCACTTTCTCCATTTTGAAGAATCTGTAGGAGACGCTCTTAATTATT